GGTTGCCCAAATCAGCAGCTTGTTCTTCGCCTCCATCAATGTCAGCATCGGTCTTCTCATCTGTGTTCATTCCGTCGGGTGCAGGATGTGGTTCCGGATTATCAGTGAGGTAGGTTTCTTGTCGTGACCGTTCACGTGGCTGAGGGTCAAGTAGCGAACTGGGGCGTGTTGGCTGCTCTACCGAGTCTTTTATCAGTTTCTCCAAGTGCTCGTCATCGATATCATCATGAGTGAGGTTGAGACGTTCATGGAGAGACTGGTAGAACTTAGCCTGCGTGACCATTGGCGTCTGGGAGATCTTCTGGAATACCGTAGGCCTCATCATGCAGTAGACCACTGGGTTGGTGGATTGTCCTTGAAATGACGCTTGGAGTGATGAAAAATGGAGAGTGAGAGCCAATAGCTGGATCCGGTCTTCGACAACAGTACCAAGGTTGTCTATCTTGCTTTCAACTCGCAGGAAATGAGCACGAGGCAAGTCGTCTTCGTTGTCCCTCGGAGGCACCGAATTTGTGTTCAGGTCGTCCTGCCCCATTCTCTCTGACACAAGTGGACTCTCTTCGTACGCCAGCCAATTCTGCGTCCTGCATAGGGCATCAAAGTCGGCGGCCTCCGGGTCTGTGAAGAAGATAGGCAGTAGAAGGCTTGGATCCATGCAGTTCCTGAGCGGATGAAGGCGGATCCTGGAGCTGTCACCCACTCGGCTCAATATTGTGTATGCAGCACCAGCTAGCCATGCAGCAGACCAGTAGTCGGTTATCCTATCGTCTTGTTCAGGTGGTACACCCTTGAATGGGAGTTGCACCCACGCTCCCTGGAATATAGCTCCCACCGTTTTATGAGCAGTTACAGCAGCACAGAGAGTGAGTGGGATTTGCTCTCTAGTGAACAACACATCTCCCGTAGATCCATGGACGTCGAAGCGCTGTCGCCTGAGTGTGACCGGATTTCCTTCACCATCGAACTTCACTGTGACCACTGGTTCCTCACCAAAGAACTTTATGTCGAGTACCTCACCAAGCATACCATTGGTAAACCGTTTGGCAGGGTCGTTAACGCTAGCCATGACACGACAACCCTTCTTTAGGTGTATAGTAGGCTTGAAGCCCATCGCATCAACATCCCTAAAGGAGAAGTTGCTCCCCAGCGAGCGGTGCACGGTATCTGTAGCTCTAATAGCAAATTCCTCTCCCGAAAGAGCCTCGAGATGCATCTTGTTGTATTCATCAGCTTGGCGATTAGTGAGGCAAATAGTGGTATGAGGGAATCTGAGGTAACACTGATAGTTTCGAGGCTGAAACTTTAGTCAGTTAGGCGAATGTACCATCTCACCTCGGTGGTCTCGTTCCACCATCGCGATCACGGATGATGCTCAAGACTTTCATGGAGGTGTTCGAGAACTGAGGTAATCCAGCTCTGATTCTTGGAGCACTTCGTATTTCAGCCAGGAGCTTCAAATAGTCGGTGTCCTGACCT